TTTTGAAATATTACTATTATTAAAATTAAATTCTATTTATGTGTTTGCAATAATTATACATTTATATTATAATATAATACGTGTATTATCATAATACTTCGTGTATTTTGTTTCTATACAAAGACTAAAATATTATAGGAACACATAATTAAAGCATAAAAGTGCATGGTAGATGGACTATACTGTATTTATATGGCTCTCCATGGAAACTGCTTTAAATATTTACTACAAAATCTCATAGTAATTTCAAGTGTTTGTATCTTTGACACAGATTTGTAAATGTGTGTTTAAGTTTTTTTTTTTAATTTGGAGGTATAAAAATATGCATTTAAATTTTTACATAATATCTTATAATGCAATTACTGAAACATCAGTTTGAGCAAAATAAGGAGGTCAAACTTCTTTTGGAGCTGTTCAATGCCAACTTGGAATTGGATCTTTTATTGCAGTATATCTAAAAAATGTGTTTGCACCTTAATCTTTAGTAGCTGCAGATTAACTTTTACCAATATGGCAATTAATATTGAGCAGGAGATGATGAAGACTCAATACCATATAACTTTAGTGACAGATTCAAAGCAGAAATTTTAAATATCAATTCACAACTGACAGACAGTTCTGGATGCAGCTATATCAATTGATTTGGTTCTTAACATTTTGATTTATAACTGCACTAAAGCACTTCCACCAAGAATACAAGCAAGGACAAGGTGATTCCTATTGCCAAACTAAGTTGAAATTATGGAATAATTTATTTTTGTACAAAACTTTGTTTTCAAAAATCTGTCAAGTATGCATGTACTTAACTTTGTCTTGACTTAATACATGTCACTACAGACTACTGTTTCTGTTCATGTTCTATCAGTCCTATTATCTTGCTGCAACTATCTTGCTACAACAAAAATTATGTCAGTATACCATTGCAATAATTTGATAGAAATGCATGTAATTTAACTAGACATAAGCTGTGCAAAATAATAGAACTGTTAGGAAACAAATCATGATATTGCTGATGTCAACAAACATATAATTTACAGCTCCATTTGTTAAGTTGAGACATAGTTAACCCTCTAAGTCAAAGTGGGACTCTAGAGTCCCATACCAGAAATCCATGATTTTCACATTTTCATGCATTCTAAACAAGTAGCTTCCCAATCCGAAGTATAAAGTAGATTATTTTAATATTCAAAAAAATTCTATGACAAGTTTAAAACACCCCTGGACTTAGAGAGTTAATAATAATAATTCATTATATTGTATCAGACTCTGGAGTCCCACTCTGACTTAGAAGGTTAAGTATACTTGGCAGATATTCCAAATAATGTTTTTCAAAAATAAAACTTCATATGAAAATAAGTTATTATATAATTTCAACTTATCTTGATATGTTTCATTACCATGTTCTTACTTGTATTACAAATTTTCATGTACCCTATATATTATACAATAAAACTAATTTTTAAACACCTATCCTAATATTTAAGTCATATCACTATCATTGTTGGTAAATACTAATATAGATGAAAGTAGATAATAACAAAATGGTATAATGATAAAATGTAAACTTTCAAAATTAACTTTTTTAGAAATAAATCTTTGGACAAAAAAATTTTATTTTACACAATTAATTTTTTTTCATAAGGAAGTATTACCTTCTTCCCACTTGTATCATCATTCTAGTTTCACTCTATATATTTCTGTTTCATTTATATTTACTCAAGTTCAAAATTCAGTTGTACTTACATACATTTCTTTATCAAACTGCACGTATTCTAGTTACATGTCCAAATTGTTTAAAATAATCTGCCATTAAACATAATCTTCATAAAAACCGTAAGGTATATGGCCCAAATACAGTAAACCTCTTGAATTCTTTCTGTGAAAATTTGTTCCTTTTACTTTATTTTTAATAGCTCTGTATGATTTCGCTATTTTTGGAGTTATTACTGTTTTTGTTGGTTTTACACTTTCCTTCTATGATAAAAAATATTGCTTGATTATTTTTACTTCATTCTTCATAATTAACTATTGTAATATGTAGGTTATATTTGCAAATAGCCTAACCCCAAAAATTTTTTTAACATTTTGTATTGCTTTGGACACGGTTGATTTCTCTTCTACATTTAATGAGTTTCGTTTAACTCTTATATCCCTTTTAAGTGGTGGAACTCTCACTGCGTTTAATTTTTTTCTTATCTTCATTTTTAACAAAATTCAAAAAACACGTGACAAATGGAAACCTCTAATTTAATGATACAAATGAATTACTAGTAGTTCGCAATGAACTATGAACCCTTCGATGTAAAGTATAAAACGGTGGCATGAAAATGATTTTCGCGCATCTCACTTGCGCATCGTACACAAACATTATTCGGTATAGGCCACTGCCGCTGTGCGTTTGTGTTAGTTCAACGATTAGAAATCGGCCAATTTGAGTCGTTAGAAGGACAGGCTGTAAAGTTTTGTGACTACAGTAAATAACTATACAGAATATTGAAAAATGTTGGGGACAAACTTCAGGAGCTGTTATAATACTTGTATAAAGTGAGAAGAGGATAGATAATGTATTGTTTTTATG